TGCTCTTGTCCAACAGTGAGGACCGATACGTGCTGGAAACCGGGTCCAATGCCCTATGTACATCGTGAATAGAACATCAGTCGATACCTCATACATACACACTCTTGGATTTGTGTAGCGAACATGACAAAACATAAACACAACATAATCACTACCTAACTTTTCCCCAACCACATCAACAAACAAACTACCAGCTGCTCGTTCGTGCCCTTACGGTAAGTCAATCAAATTTTCATCGTTTGATCGTACCGGTCGGCCGCTCAGATCCGAACGGTAGTTGGAAGGGTGATGAATTTGTTGGGGGGGGGGGATGAGTAGTTTGACAGTTGTTGCTTGTGGAGGACCGACAGTTGCCCGTAGGAGGTCGATGAGAGTTTAACATTTTAAAATCGAAACGACGTGGGTCCACTTTTCTCGAATAGAAGGACACTTGGAATAAGTATTGTACACGTTCCACTTTGTATTAAAATACAATTTGTACCTTTACTTTAAAACTAACAATATTACTATCTTATCCTTCCCCGACCGCATCAACAAACAAACTACGACTGCACAACCGTGCCTTCACGGTAAGGGTGACCTTACGCACTCGTGGTTAATAAGTGGTATCATTTTCAGTGAAATTTTCACCGAGACTGCCATATGTCCTTAAAATTTCGTTTTTTTTTTCTGATATATATGTGCTTTAGGGTATATCTGTATTCAATTTCAATGTATTTGCACCAAACACTGAATTCGAAATTTTTTTTGGCAAACTTCTATACTACTCCGAATAGGGTGTTATTAACTTTTATAGTCCTCGTTAGGGTTGCTAGGACGAACGTATGGAGGCCCCTAAGCTGACCCCCGAACGTTCGGGCGTTCGGGTCCCCGTACGGGGCCCGAACTTGAAGGGGTTCGGACCCCGCAAAAAAATGTTTGGGACCTAAATATTATTATGTTTTTCTGAATGATTTTCTGTGAGTTTTTTTTTTTTATGTGAGGTATCTCCCTCTAATTGTGAAGCCGTTCTGTGCAGCCAAACAAATATGAAAAATCGACAAAGATGGTTGTGTCACAACTTGCTTGCCCACTCACTAATTTATTTATTTATTTATTTTTTTTTATTTTTTTTTATTTTTAATTTCGGGGCATAAAAAAAAATATTATTTTTTCAAACTTTATTTGTAGATTCTCTATTATGTAAGATACACGTACATAAAGTTTCATGGCATTTGTCATAGCAAAAAATAAAATAAAAAATCACCAAAGATAGCGGTGTCAAAAACGTGTTTTCCCACTCAATATTTTCATTCTCGTTTTTTTTTTTTTTTTTTTTTTTTT